TAACGCTGAAACAATCGAACAGATCATCTATATACATCGATAGACATACCTTGGAAATATTCGAAAGGAGAAAATTACTTCGATAATCGATTGCGACGAAACACGAATCATTCTAGCTGAGCAATAAATTGCTTTATTGCTTGACAAAGTGGTAGCAGGTTACGTAGCGAAACGGCAAATCGAGACTAAACCAGCGATTTCACGCTGTTTGTAGAAAAGCCCGACGAAAGGAGAAGGATGCGGGAACTACAGAGGATCCGAAGTTGTACCTTGAGGAGGCGGCCCTCGAAAGGCAGCTACCAGAGCTGGACCTGAGGATGCTGGTTGATCTACCGCCCGGCTTGGACTACAACGAGTGGCTGGCCTCTCATACCCTCGCACTATTTGATCACATCAACCTCGTTTACGGAACGATATCCGAGTTCTGCACGATGACGGGCTGTCCCGACATGACTGGTCCAGGCTTAAGGTGCGTATCGCATTACACACTTGTGTTTCGGTTGAGCGGAGGGTCTTAATGTTTTGTATACATTCGAGGGGTGACTTTACCCGTTATTTTCACAACGTCTAATATCGCAGTATATAGATGTATATGATTTATTGTTAGATTTAATTTGAATTAGTGAAATTGAGGGATATAGTGAATATACAGTGTGTAAAAAATGTTCTCGTACTCAAATTGTAAAAACGTTTTACAATTTACGTACTAAAATTTTTGTTTAGAATTTTTTTTTCATTCTTTCATTTTTTACTGTCTTCATCGAATGATTAAACTCGGAGAAATTTTCTTCCGTACTATACAAGCTACGTGTAATATTTTAACGTTTTTCATCCGTCACATTGAGTGACTAAAAGGAAATCGTAAAGCACGAGTCTCAAAGGCAACGTAAACACGACGAAAAAAGTCGAGAGGTGGAGTGACAGAGTAGTTAAACTGTGTAGTGGGATAAGTACTACTCGACGGCCTTGAGAGCGGCCAATTGATTTCGTACGGGCAATAGCAAGAGGGGAATAGGATGTGTACGAACGGTCTTAGGTGAGACAGACTTCAAGTGCTAGAGGCTGACGAATATAAATAAATCGTAGAATTCAATTGCCCGGAGGGAATCAATACCATTCTAAGTGACAGTATATTGTTCAGGATATTTCCAAGAAAAATAGAAATCTTGAATATAAGTAAAAACTGACAAAGTACTACATCATTCAGTTTCAAAATCTACTACCAGACATTCGCGATAGATATGACGCGCGCGCACACTAACCTACAAAAGCACGAGTAAAAGAAAGGAAAGATGAAAGAAGGCGATTAAAGACCCATTCTTTAAACGATTTTCCTTTTGCCCTCGATCCACCCCTCTCTCTCTCTCTCTCTCTCTCTCTCTCTCTCTCTCTCTCTCTCTCTCTTTTCTTTAACCAATATTACCGCAGACGAGTAATTCACTTTTTTATCGTTTCAGAACTTATCTGTGGTTCGATGAGAAGGGGAAGAAAACGAGAGTGGCAGCGCCACAATATATAGATTATGTTATGACTTTTACACAACGCACCGTTAGTGACGAAACTATATTTCCTACGAAATATGGTAAGTTATCAGTTTCACCTTGCCGTGACAACGATCGCGTCATTATTTATGACATTTATCGAAGATGTTATGTACTTAAATAAAAACTTCACATTTCTTTCAGAAAAAAAAAAAAATCAAATATAAATATTTAGAAATTCTATCAAAGTTGCTATACAATTGTTTCAACGAGTAAAACAAAATGTACTATATAACACTATATTTACAATAATAAGCCATGAGCTATACACAGACTCGATACATACACACACACATATATATAGAAATAATAATCGTATTAATTGGTCGGTTTCTTGTTTCAGCAAATGAATTTCCTAGCTCGTTCGAATCGATAGTGCGTAAGATCCTGCGGCTACTGTACCACGTGGTGGCACACATTTACCACTGCCACTTCAGAGAGGTAGCACTCTTGGCGTTGCACGCTCACCTCAATTGTGTATTTGCCCACCTCACGCTCCTTAATCAACGCTTCAACCTTATCGATCCCAAGGAAACGGAGATCTTAGGAGACTTAGAGGCTGCCCTCTTGGGTAAGCTTAACATCTGCCCCATGATCGATACTGTTACGTAATACCGGCAACGGTTATATTAACGTAATAGGGTTTACCCAGCGGTTTAAGGAGGAAAATTTGCGATACCACACTGATACGACCTATTAAAATCACGCGATATTACGTAAAACGGGATCTCGATGACGCAACCAGTCGATGAGATAAGTAACACAGATGCGTAGGCTGACACGTTGATAATGTTGTTTAGCTGCCTGAATGGACACTCCTCCTTCCTTTCATTGATGAAAGTGTGTATTTGATGGAGTTTGTTGGATCCTTTTAACACTTTTACCGAATACACACTTCTTGATGAGATAGTAAATTCTGGAGAATAGTATTGATAGATAATCATATAGAATTTTATAGTGAGAATAGAGTACCACAATTTGTGTATATGCATACAAAATTCTGTTGACATATATAGAAAATATTCTAATGCATTTTTATACAATTTTACCATTATCATCGGTACACTCCTAGCAGTTTATTTATATGAATGATTATTGAAGTAGCAATTTACCAAAAATGATTGTTGTAATTGCAGGTGACTCGACATCATCATCAGCGCCTTCATCACAAACCTTAGCCATCCAGGAGACTCCGACCACAGCCACCTAGATCGCGATGCACAGCAAGCAAGAGGTTGCAGTTCCTGAGACTAGGTGACGATAGGCGTTTGTTTTTTCCTCTCTTTTTTTCTACCCCTTTCTTCCTCCTTTCTTTGTTTCTGTCTGTCTAGATTTCTTTCCCTCCCTTTCTCTCTCTCTCTCTCTGTCTCCTTCTGTTTTGTTTTTTAAATAGAATACGCGAACGACAGAGTTTAAGGATTAACGACTACACACGCAGGTGGAGCGAAAGCGCAATTCTGTAAAAACCAGTAGTACCTGTACATAGCGAAGTGTGAACAACTACATGATGTAATTAGGTTCCTCCGTTTGTTGTTTGTGAGATTGTACATAATTTATTAAACAGTAAGATATACGAAAGAGACGAAGGATGATTATTGATTATTATTGACAAAGTTAGTTGCTATAAGAGGATAATTTGTTCTGTAAAAAAAAAAGCAAGAAAAAATAACAAAGTGAAATGAAACTGATAATAATATTGTAAAGTTAAAGTAATACCAAATATATACCTGGTGTTAAGGCATGTGTTATATTCGTTGAAACTCGAACAGCTACTTTGACAGGAGCTGTTCCCGTATCTTCATCAGTTCACATTGTCATTGTATCCTGGACATTGCCTTTTTGAATCGATGATCGTGATCATTTGTTATCATCTACCGATGGACCACCATTATACATCTTAAGTTTTTTTGTGAATATTTTTGTTAAAACGATTTTGTTACTTTTTTTTTTAACACTTTAAGGTCCAATAAATTCATCTTACTTTACACATCAACGTAGTAAAAAGTAATTTTAACGTGTCTCTTAAACAATGGGCCTCATGAATGTAAGGCCTAATACAAACTGTACTTAGTAAACTTACGCTTGGACCTTGAAAGGTTAAAATTAATATCTGTGTTTGATTACAATTCAGTTTTAATCATACTTCAGTTCATTCGCTTCTCAATGTCAACACAAAGTGAAAATCATGTAGATAGAGTAGGCTGTCCCTTTTTTCATACCTCTGAACCTTAAAACGATAAACAAGAGATATAGTGTTAAGAGGTAGAGGTTAAAAGGTAGCTTTCGAAACAGCTATTCTGAGGTAACTTAAGTCGACATCTATATGGTGCTATTTTTTTTACAAAATCAGGGAAAAAAAAAACAAACAGTTATGATTCTTGTACCTCGTTCCCTTCGACAAAGCGTATTCCTCTGTTCATCGCTGACACAAGTGATCATTCTCTTGCAAAAAAAACAAAAAAACAAAAAGCATTCATCAAGTGCAAGCAACCGAGGGAGCAGTGCTCTGTTTGACTTCAACAATCCTAATCGCTGCGCACAAATGAGCAATATGTCGTAGAAACAGGCCCATCGCCTCTGCGATAGGCTCGCAAAGATCCTTGAAAGATGTTGCGATATTGTACAACAATATCAGTACAGGTTGTATAAGGGCATTGAACACAATCGATAATAGAGGTTTTATAAAATAGTCCGCTAACAATTGCAGAATGCCCACTGTCAGTGGTCTGATTATGCTGTAAAGTATAAATCGAACTAATTGTAGTATAAACGCTGTGACGAAAGCGGTTCCGATGTGAACAGTCCCGAATATCTCGGCCCAGAAACGCGTCGCTGCCTGATCAGTTTTCTCGGCGCATTTCTCCGTCGCTAATATCGGTGGTGAATCCGTTGTTCGATAATACCTGTGTAAAAAATGTCGAAATATCATATTTATGTTAACGAACATATATACGATTGTAAGGGGTGATTTACAAAAAAAAAGTGATTTAAGGAAGTCATTTTTTTTTTAAAGGATTTGTTAAAAATAGTTGTCTTTTTGTGATTGTTTTTTCTTTTTTCTTTTTCTTTTTTAATGTTTTTCATAGTTTGATTATGGTCATTTAAAGGTTTAAGAACTTGTGGTTTTTTTCTTTTTTGTTGTTATACAAAACAAAGTTGTTGAAAGATTATGTAAGAGCAATTGCCTACATAATAAAAGCTATGAGTGATAAGAATTCTGGTGAAAATATGTGGTTGTACCTACGCAGAGTTCCCGTGATCAAAATAGTAAATATCGATTTTTTCCGCCACTTCCACCTTTTTCTCTTCGGTTTTTGGTGTTTTGCCTAGACTTGGAAGAATGCGTTTCTTTTTGTTCGGTATCCCTTCTGATATCTCACAGCACATAAAGGGCTAAAACAAAGTATATTGTTGTTACTGTTAGGTATACTAAATATAAAGTGATGTTATTATATTAGCGTGTAAATATTTTACTCTACCTCAGCATAATGAGGACATGTTTTTGGTTTGAGTTTTACTTCATATGTTTTATCTCTTCTTTCTAAGTACTCTCTCTTAGGCCACTTCCACTTAAAGGGGCACCAGAATTGTCGTGTATGTGATGTACCTGAAAGTTTATACTTTAAACAAATCTGAAATAAATCCAAACAAAATGAATAATTAAGTTGCATTTCCTTGATTGGCTTTCAAATTGTAAAATAAAATTTAGAGTAGTCACAGTATTGTATGGATAATTTAAGATGTTGAAGAAGTAATTACCATTTCCATACTTCAGAGGTAAAGTATAGGCAGCACAGCTAGAAAATAAAGGGTAGCCCATTAATAACTTTTGTGTAAAATAGAAGTGTACTTATATTACATCTTGTGACCATGGCATAAACATGGCGTGGAAGACTGATTTTGCTTCTTTGGCGGATCATTTTTGTACGTTTCCTCTACTGTACCAGTTACTACACACTGTTCTGAAGGTGCTCCATGATGTACAGGTGAATGTATCTCGTGACATTTACAGTCTTTAACTTAATAAATATAATATTTATATGTCAATTTTAATAATTCAAGTTATTTTTCATTCCTGATTTACCTACAATTAAATTGTTGAATAATATTATTACCTTCCCTACTTAGATTATAATCATATTGAGATTCTATGACATTGGTATTAGTTGGGTAGCTATCAGATTGCAAAGAAGATATGTTAGAAGTTTCTGTTGCATCAGTACATAAACAATTATCTCCAGAAACCATGATGAACACATTTCTTGAAAACAAATTGAACAAAACTTCAAATTAAATTAACATGAATTAAAACAAAATTAAACTGTCAAGTGACAGCAACAAGAGTAATTACCTGAATTCATATGTTATTGATTAAGATGAAAATAGGCATACATTACATTGAAATATAAATAGTGAAATGATAAATGATAAATAAATCACTTCTGACTTTTTCTCTTTATTTATTTTATAACACAGTGATTTTGATTGAATTTTGCAATGAATTACTAAAAATTCTTACACGTTCGAATATTTCGATTTTCTAAACTTTATTTGTTCTTGAAATGTTGTTCGAAGTAAAAGACTGTTATTTACATTAATTCAATTGGAATTAGAATGACATAATTAGCCTAATATGATTCGTTACAGTAGCTGTAAACTCATCTATGCGACGGGGTAAACGCTTGCGAGGAGGTTTTACAATTCTTAAAATTTCTAACAAGTCACAAAAAGATTTTACAACTACACTTTTCACTTGTCTTTTCCACCAAAAAACTTTAACCACTACTATCCACCACTAGTCCACCACTATAATCTAAACATTTAAATAACTCGCATGTTCCAAGAAATCTGTCTTTTTTCGAATCTTAATCTATGTTTTTAAATCATTGTTTCAATCTCCTTATGTGTTTTTTGAAGTAAATGATTTGTAACTTACAAATTAATTATTCAAAAATGTTTAATTATATAAAAAACTTTATCCGTTTTATATTTTATCTATCTGTTATTTTGTATGTTTCTAAAAATGTATATATAATACAGTTTCCATTTTTGTATTCGTTGATAATGTGTTTGTAACTATAGTGTCCTTTTCTTGCTTGTGACTCACTCGCCATAGAAAATGAGAAGAGACCACTACTCATCATACATAAATTGAGTGTATCTCGTCGCTCGCACAAGGTTAAACGTAATCTAAATATCGAGTTACCTTAATATCAATCGGACTAGAATGGAAATATGCGTAAATACTAAACATGTGACCACTCGTTCGAGAAAAATCAAATCTTTCAACAAACGCATTCATTCGTAAGTAGTTAATAGTCTGTTAGAAAGTAATTACGTTTGACTTACATTTGTATTTATAATATTTATACACGTGTGTTTTATGTAATAATTCTTCACATGGAGTATTCGTCTTGTAATATCATCGTTCGCGCAATCGAATCTATATAAACCTATACAATGTACGTTTTAACGTTTTGTACAAACACCTTTTAACATTCTGCACAAGCAGTCAAAATTGAAAACATGTTCCTATCTAACAACACTTACGGTTGCACAAATGTATCGAATGTTAAATTTTGTCCTATACACGCGTACATTTAAAGGCTTTTTACGAAAGAAGTCGTCGAAAATATCAAAATGAGAATAAATTGAGCTATATACACAATGAAACTGGACGATCCATATATATAAAATGTAAATTTTCACATCAATTAAAACAGTCTGTGAATAATGAAATTATATAATACAATTGATAAAATGATACAATTGCTATCTTCAGTTGTTATCAGATAGATGATAACACTTAACCAAGATGAAACGAATAAAACTATAATGTGGTTTGTGTTCGTGTGTTTAAAAACTATTCATGTAGCTTACTTGATAGTTTATGTAACAAATAAGATCTAAAACTTAAAGATAGAATTGAAACTTTTGATCGATCCTCATAGTGTTTCTCACAGATTTATGTAAGATAATAATAATTAGACATTTAGGCACCTATTGGAAATGCAATGTTAAAAACATATGCACTCTTTTAACTTATGTACTTAATATTTATATTTCACAGTTCATTCACAGAGTCATTGACAAAAGTGTGTTCTTAATATGGACTTTCATTTTGAATTAAATAGTAGTAAAATTAAGTTTAATTTTATCCTGTTAAGGATGCAATTAATCATAGAATTTTCGTGTTTCCCTGCGTTAATTGTGCGCACAACACCACAACTTTCACAGTATGTATTGATATTTCATAAGTATACTTCAGAAATGTTAGAAAGTAGAATTGACATAGCATTTGCAACCTTAACAGCTCAGTTTAATTTTTGATATACGTCAATGATACTGATTACAAGACTCCAATTAAAAGGGAGCATATATTTTTAATCACACACTAACATTAAAGACCAAAGAAACAACTTGCAATTACACACTGAAGTACGTTGTTTTGGAATGTAAAATAACGCTCGACGATTATTCTATATCGATATCTCCACTATCGTCACATGAGTAATTGTCGTACAAAAATGTGTCAGACTCATTTGTCCATGTCTCTTGTTTGTTCTTGTTTTCTGAATTACTACGTTTACAATTAATAATTTAATTCCTTGAAATTTTACGATATTATTAAAGTATGACATCCATTAAAACAGACATTGTAAACAATTTTATATACACTAGACTTTAATATCTCACATTCCTATCGTTTAAAATGTTCTTTTACGCAATGCAATAATAGATTAGATACAACAGGCAACGATCATCAAATCTTACAAAGTTAGAGCATAAAGCTGTGTGTAAATACATATGTGTAAGTGGATGTCTTTTTTGAAGAGTACAAGCATGGCACTTAAGTCAGGTAAAACTTATTTGTAAGTACGAAAAACGGATTAAACACTACCAACAGTAGTATGCAATATAACTTCAATACTTTAGATTCATATTGCACAGCGTTTGATGATTCCTTTTTTCCCCCTTCAATTAAGATATATTCGCTAATTCTTAAGACATGCGCTTATACCATACTTTCTATCGGCAACTGTTCTCACATACCTTTCTATGATTACACTATTAACTTATATCGACATTTTTTTTTTTTACATGTTCTGCCTTTTATTTGCGTTTTTAATGTAATTAATGTGGAAATTTTCAAACGTTAGCAAAAACTGTGACGATATTGCTGATCATATTCCTTTATGAATTCTCTACAACGCTCAAAAGCTACAAAGTACAAATAATTGTAATAAATAATGTCGATAAAAATATATTATACAATGATCTCGTAGAGCTGACTGTCATGGCTGCTTTTCCTTTTTTACATAAATTATTTATAAATTGAACCTGTTGTTCATTAGGATGTACCGTGTTGAAGTAAACAAACAAAGCGAATTGTAATTGATTGTAAACGTATTCATGTTTTAACGATTACATGAAAAATATTATCGATATTTACAATGTGTTACAGAGTAAACTATCCGTGATCAATTGTATCAACGTTCCATTTACATTCATTAAACTAGTAGTGATAAATATACGGAGAAAAAGAAAAGAATCTTGCCTCGTAATTTCTTGTAAAAATAGTGTCAAAGTACTTGTGCAACTTGTTCTCCTGGTTTTCGTACTTGAAAAAGTAGATTACACAAATGTGAGAGATATGCATACTTACGTCGTAGGACAGTCTTTCACGATCGATAAATGTTTAATTTGTATTCACTGACTGTAGGAAATTTACTTAATAGTATGCAATTTAAACCTTCTATATTCAAAAATCACTACCTTCCCATTAAAAGTCACTTCCAATTTCGTAGTAACTCTTTGGTAGCCCAGAAGTACATTCCAGGCAATAAATGATATGACACACTGTGTTAGCTTCTGATGGCTGAAATTACAATATATCTTCCATGACAGTTTTCCGGCCCTTAAAAAAAATCCTAAATGTATTGGAAGTTGTCCTTTGTAGCGAGTAGAGGCAACTTTTCAATGCTCTGTTTATGATCAAAGCTGTGCAACCAATCTGAGCTAGGTTTCGCTTTTAACCCACAAAAACTTATATTGCAGAAATCGGCCGCATTCTGAAGAGCACCGCGATGGAAAGGATTCCCTTGCTTGAAATGCGCATAGCGTTCAGCGTTCATGCGCTCGTTTGTTGTCATTCCAAGGACCATGATCTAATAATAAATTATCATGAAAATGAATAAACATTTCAAGGTGAAATGAAGTTTTTGTAGTTCAGTAAAATTGCAAATTAATCGATTACATGGTAAAAGGATTAAGAAAGATTAACAAACCTGATAACACTGACACGCTAGCAGTGTGCCAACCCAAAGAAAATGAAGGAACGCATTCGCTGCAACCCATATTACCCAACTATCGCACGTAATCGCAGCAACTAGATAATGACCAGCGTTATGATCATTCGTTAAGTTTGTCCAACATTCAAACTGCCAATACTGTACACTAGCAGACAAAATAACAATACAGAGGCCTAACAGTGACGCTAGAAATCCCAGAAAATACTTGTGGTTATGCGCACCTAGTTTTCAAAACGAAAAATCAAATGTTAACAATGTATAATTGGTACAATTATATGAGGTTAATGCTTTTCATACTGGGCTAATTGCGTACACTTGCTACTAACATAACAAACGATGTTTCAAACGTTTTGTTTTTCATTCACTTACCGATGCAATTGTTCACCCAAGGACAGTGATGATCAAAGCGTGCAACGCATCGATCACATGTAGAACAGTGTTTAGATCTTATAGGTCTTCTGACCAAACAACTAATACAGAACGATTGTGATTCGAAACCACCAGCTTCTGCTAACTCTATAATCGTCTGAAAATGATGAAATTAAATAAATTATTCCATTTATAGGTAACACAGTCGTAGAATATGGGTTTTTACATTTAATTTGTCCTCGTGTGTAGCAGTAATTACACCTGGATCGCCTCTCCAGGATTGTAAGAAACATATCCACAGTGGTACAGATCCACCCACTAGTAATAACCATAAATACCATGCAGCGTGTATCCCTAACCAAAATATCCATGTCATGTATATCCACATCTGTAAAATGAAAATAAATAATACTGATTATAGTCTGTGATATAAATTACGTGTTAATGTGAAAAATTATTTTTAAACTGTCATTAATCAAAACTGTTTGTATTCTTTGATAGTATCTTTTTAAAAGTTCTCATTACGTTTCTTTGTGTGAGTTATCTAAAATGTCATGATAAGACACTTGTTGCCTATCTCAGTTGTGTAAAAGTTGATATCTGATATAATTCAATGAGTTTTCTACAAATAAGATTCACAGCATTACTTAATTCTAGGACATTATATAAAATTAACTATCTGGTAAGAATTAATGTAACGTATTAATTTGTAAATTGAATGAAAACTCACCTTTGTAGCCAAATAAACTGACATTGGTAAAATATGAAATAATCGTTCGTCAAAGATAAAATTATTAGCTAAATACAGTGCTATATAAAGAGTGACAAAGGCACCTAATTTTATTAGATAATCCAATCCACTTTGAAGAACCAGTCCAATCACATAGAAAAGTATAAACGGTGTACTGACCATACAGTACCAGCGCATCTTCTGAAAGATGAATTAAAAATGTTGCAGAATTAAATAGTACGAAAAAAAAAAATTATAATGCATACCTTATCTCTACACCATGTTCTTGATCTGCTCTGTTTTTCTCTGATTTCTTGACTGATCGTATCTCCTAACCAGGCAGCGCCAATATGACGACCCAATAATGTCATCGGTGTTTCATCTCGAACATTTGGTACGTCTAACGATGCACCGTGATGGACTAACGTCGATATTGCTGTACTATTCTCAGCTATTATAGCCCAATGCAAAGCTGTGTTACCATGTAAATTATCAACAAGTGAATGAGATGCGCCTAGTGTCAATAACAAGCGCGTCGGATCTGAACTGTAAAAGGAAAAACTTCAGAGTAACCAATATAGTGTAATCTTAAATAAAGACATTTGTAAGTATATATTTTTGTTGTCCTCTTGCATTTACCTATTAATTTTGTAGGCACTCCACATGAGGGGTGTCATTGCACTTTTATCTGGCATATTTGGATTTATTCCTTTCGCGACTAGATAAGCAACAATAGGTGTGTGACCATATTGTGCTGCTAAATGAATACACGAGTATCCTTCTGAGTCTCTGAGAGTTGGATCTGCTCCTGCTCTCATCAATAACACAACTGTAGATAAATGGCCCTGTCTGAAATTAATGACTATGATGATTACATTCTGCTACAAAATAATTAAGGTTAAAGCATTAATGTAATGCAAAATTAACCTTGCAGCCCAAAGTAACGGCGTGGAAGCAAGCTCACCACCAACTGCATCAACAGTAGCTCCCTTTGCTATCAGGTATTTTATAATATCTTTCCTATTGTTTATTGCAGCCCAATGCAATAGGGTTACAGTTTCTGAGTCTGGTTGATTTACATCAGCCCCAGCTTCTACTAATTCAGTTACACGATCTAGAGCTCCATACTGAAAAGAAAAAATTCCTCAATTAGATATTATTATTTTTAGTTACTTAAATAAAAATATTTAAAGTTTATTTTACCTGAGTTGCTCTAACAATGTCAAATGAGCTACAATCCTGTACCGGAGGTCTAACAGGTTCCTGATGATGACTACTAGAATCATCAGGCTCCCCACTGCCCTCGCTTTGACAGGCACTTTGGATTTTTAATGCATACATGTTGAATTTATTAATATCAACTTCAGAATCAACTTATAGATACCATAAAGGTCTAGTATCCGAAAATTAATTTTTAAAATTGCTTTATATCATAAGATGTAGCTGAAACAACAAAAATATATTATCCCATTAAATTTATTTTAATATTATTAACTGTTCCAGTTTTATTATAATTAAAGAGATATATACAAAATGTCAAATATTACAAATTACTGGATTAATGACAATCATTTACAAGAAATTACTATTATTTTAAGAAAATTTTTACAATAACACATCATCAATGACATAATAACTTATTAACATAAAAAGAACTAGTACCTATGAAAAACATTTACTGTTTTCATAATTCGTTTACATCACGAGACCCGACCGGTATTAATTCCGCGTGACTGCATCAAACTACCAGTACTTCAACAAATTACTTCATAAATTAAACTCGTCACGATTCCATCAAGACCTTTCAAGTCCCGACGGTCGTAAACGTAAAAGCTTTTCGGCAGAAAAACTCATCGACATTATTCCACGACGAGCGTACCTCGTCCGGCAATTAATATCGTTCAATTCGACTAACAATAATCAATTCATCGTTTGTATTCACCGTGTGCACCGCGTTGTAAATACAATGTGTACTACGGAGCACATCGAGCATATTGACAATCGATTTAGTATTCGAGTCAGGGACTAATGATAAACGTCGCAATGTACAATTCTCTCTCATTCTTCAGAAATTTTCGAGGCACGTTATTCCTATCTTGAGAATTCCCTCTATTTCGTACGCATGCACAATTAGACAGCATGATCCTTTTCTGAGCGCACCAATGAAGGAACAAAATATACCCACTAAATGTCAAAGTATCGAACGATTTAGCGATAAGATTAAGTTATTTCGCAATTCACGTAATTATCTACCGATCGTAAATATGTATATCTACGGGGGAAAAAAAACTCGCCGACGATACCGTATCTTACCTCTGAAGCAATGACAGCGTTTATAATAGTTGTGCATAGTACACGGCATTCTACAACCCTCGAGTAACGTCGTAGGGGATTAGATTTTAAAGGACAAACAGTGAGGAGAAGTAGGGCGCCGGTACATCACATAGAATCCAGACAAGGGTTGACCTTTTCTTCTTTCTATAGAAAGAACACCCTCTTCTGCGACTCGTCGTTCTCCCTCGATCCAGGTCACCACTGTTTCTCCTATTTTATCTACTTGTCACTGAATATCATCGTTTACTTGTTTCTCTTTCTACAGGATCTTCAACACGCACCGCGTACCGAACCGATACACGATATTGCTGTTCGCGTCACATGCACATTATGCTTTCTCAAGTTTCGCGACAAGCTTCTTATTGACCAAACG